CTACACGATAAGGTTTATCATCGTGTAGTTGGAATGTATAGAAATTTACATTTTTTTGTTTGAGGTACTTTATTACCGTTCTATAAGAATTGGGATTTGATGTGTTGAGTTTTAAGCTGTTTGATGTAGTTTTACACGAGAATTCCAAGGGTGGAGCTTGTAGGTTACTAATTTCTTCGCAAAAAGTTTGGTAGTTATTAATAATTGATTTAATAAAAATTGGTGGCGGAGCTTTTATATCGATAACGTCGTTATCGACAGCGTCATTATCGACAGCCATTTCGTTATCATTTGAAGTATTGTTTGATCTTGTTTTCGTGTTGTTCGTATCGATGTTCAAAGGGCTAAAACAAGTGCAAGTTCTGTACAAATAAATTAAATATTCCACAATTTTGTTTAACATTAAGAATTTAATGTCCATCGTCTATGTATACTGTATGTGTATAGTATATGTATATAAAATATAAGCATATTTATATAAATTAAATATTAAAATTTAAGTATATGATTAAAATTCAAAATATTACTAAATACCTATATATACCTATTTTTTTATTTTCCTGAAAATAACAAGTGAGGCACCGCCTCACTTGCCTCACCCCCAAAACCACCACTGAAAAAATAGCTAATAAAATAGAGCTAACAAAAAATTTAGTAGATCACGTCGCTTATCAGTTATCTTTATATAATCTTCACATAATTTTTTCAAATAAAATTGTATTTATTATATTTTTTTTTTTGGTTGGACAGTGCCTAATAATCGCTGTYGGAGTTTGTTTTAGTCCCAAACGACATACATTTGTCAATTGTTGTTCTTTACAACTTTAGTAGTCATTTACTCATATAGGTATATTTAATCGCAAATAATCACTTGCTTGGTGTCTCGTGGTTGTGGTTTCCAATAGGTTGTCGGTAATAGCGGAACGAGCTTTAACGAACGTCCGCGGTCCGTGGTACATATACCTATAAGTCTTTAGTGCCATAGTGCCCCGGATTTAGTACAATAATAATAAATTACAATTACACATTGAAGCTTTTAATTAAACTGTAAGTAGGTAACTACTAACTATATACTAACTATACCCAAAAGCGTAACTATATAGAACTTTAGAAAAACATTTTTCGTTTCTATTGCCTAATAATTTTATATATTACCTGCAGTATAACATACCTACTAAGAACTTAGAAGGTAATAATTTTAAAAAAAATTACAAACTCGATGGTAGAGGATAGGGGAAAGGAGAAAAGGGTTACAAAAGCCACAAATTAACCAAGTATACTTTACGTATTTCTCTGATATAGAAAAATATTGTTGGTATAGTATTTCATTTAATATCGCGAGTTATTAAAAGCACA